ACCTTTCGATGAAGCCTTCCTCTCCTCATACCTGTCAGAGTCTCTGTCTGTCATACAAATTCAAGTCTGCTTCCAGGTGGATTCCTCTCTCGGTGCCCTCATCCTGGAGTCCTGCATCATTCCCATTTGGTCACCATGTCTTCCTCTCTCTTCGGGTCCGCCCTCATTTTGGTGGACCACATCCTGCAGTAGCTTTCTGAGAAAGGATGCCTAGAAGGGTTTCTGTGGCTTGATCACTTGACTGACATGTTGGTGAAAAATGCATGTTGGTGACACGCAGATGAAAAATCGTTTTTATTTAGAATTTGTACCATGTGGGGGCGCCAGTTTCACACCAGGGGAGCCTTGCTGCTGTGCAGTTCTGTGTCATTCTGGCTGCTGGATAGTGTTTGTTTTGTTTTTGTTTTTTTGAGGCAGTTTCTGTGGGTAGCCCTGGCTGTCCTAGAACTCCCTCTGTAGACCAGGCTAGCCTTGAACTCAGAGATCCGCCTGTTTCTGCCTCCCGAGGGCTGGGATTAAAGGCATGCACCACTGGCCTGTGTTTCTTGTATGCTCCATTTTTGTGTCTTTCTGGAAACTTCTGCTGCTGTGTCCTTCTCTTCGCTGTGCAGTGACATGGGTCCTCAGTCAGGACACCCAGGCCCTTCATGTCCTGGGAGACCATCATCCCTGTGTTTGGTCTTTTCTTTTGTGCTTTCTTGGGACTTCATCTTGGGGCTTGGTGGATGCCACTTTTGGTTCCTGCCTAATTGTCTTGCCCACTTCTTTCTCCAGCTTCATCTCCTTAAAGAGTGTGTATCCACACAGTTCCATTCCTGGGTTGGAGGGTTCGGACTTGTCCCAGGGATCAGGTGAACATGCTTCAGTCCACAGCTAACCCCAGGAGCCATAGCTCTCCAGATCTGCACAAGGCTTTAGAATGTCCCTCTGTGGCAGGTGATGACAAGGATGTGGTCATTCTTGTGGCCTTTTCTGAGGATAACTTTCCTAAGACCTTGAGAAAACCTTCCTTGTGATGGAGAAATTTAGTTCTAGGGATGTGTCCTAAGGAGAAAGTTTAATATTATGTATGAATATCAGCCATTGTAAATAGGCCACGAGGGGGTGGGGGTTTAACTTGGTGTGTAGCCTGTGTGTGTGAGGCCCTGGATTCAGTCCCTAGAACCATACATAAACAAATATGGAGTAAGTAAAACAAAAAATAAGCTAGGACCTACAGGTCAGACAGACCCAGTGGCGATTTCTGTGACAGGAGACATCCATGTAGTGACTGTTGCACAGCCATTGTTGATAGTGGGAAGAGGTCCACTGTAAAGGAAAGAAGGTTCTAGAACATGATCTTACTATGTGTGCTGTTAGGCACAGTTTCTGTACCTCCCTGCCCTGCCTTTATTCCTACGACACTGGAATGTACTTCTCTGAGAGTAGGAATCACCCCGTCCCCTCTGAAATCCTGACTCCATGGTCAGAGTTGGGGCCTTGGAGTGTTGTGTTTCTCGTCTCAAATGCAAACTCAGCAGATGATTTCCAGACACAGTGGATAGCACCACTGTGTCCATAATGGTCACCGGAGAGGCCTTCTTGGCACAGTCCCCTGCTGTGACAGTGCCCTGGTATCTTCTTTACTCTGGGTGACATGGACTCAGCCTTTCCCCCAGAATGGTTGGGAAAATCACTTCTTGGCTGGAGCCCACAAGGCACAGCTTGAACCCTCGGTGCCATGCACTCGCTGGCCAAGGCAGCTGACAGGCCTGTCCTCGCAGCCTCCGAGAGCATCCCATTGGCCACTGTGGGCAAAGGGCTGCTGGGTAGCAGGCTACCTGTCCTTTATGGATGAGGATGGCTACAGATCAGGTTGGAGGCCCTTGCAGGGGGACTGCAGGAGGGATGTCTACACCTTGTCCTCAGGCTCCCAAACTTCTGAGGAGGGTTCCCACTCGGGTCCCCAGACCAGTGACTTCCAACCTTTGTAACAGTGGACTGAAGGGCTGGTCCCTGGGTCAGCTGCCTTCCCTGCAGGCTTCCATCCCAACCCAGCTTTGAGGATGCACAATGACCCGTGTGGGAATTCAGCTGTCTGCCCCTGCTTCCAGGTGGGGTGGATTCCAATGTGCTTGCTGTAGTAGGACCCTCTGCATCCTGTCCCTTCTCCCTGACCCCACCCTGTGTGTGACCATCATAGATAGCCACATCTCAGGCTCTGCTCTGGAGAAGCCACCTGGCTACATTGCTGACCACTTTTCCTCCTCTTCCTTTCTCCTTCTATTTCATTATTTTTTTGTTTTTGTTTTTGTTTTTGTGATCGAGTCTCACTTCGTAGTCAAGCCGGCCTCAAATATGTATGTGATAATCCTCCTGCCTTAGCCTCTGAAGTACTGGGATTACAAGCAGGAGCCACCATGCCTGACTTTTTATTTTCTTTCTCTGTAATACTTGGGATGGAGCCCTCCTCACATGTGGAGGCCCTCACATGTGCTAAGTATGTGTTCCATCGCTGGGTTGTGTTGTGGGACTCCAGTTACGTTTCACTAAGGACGCCACAGTTCTGGGCAGATTTGTCCAAAGCCCTGAGCAGATGGGCACTCTGTGCCTATCTGTCCTCTGCACACGTCAATAGAGAGCTGGGTGCCTGCAGTGTGGAGTTGGTGCCTGAATAGCCAGGAAAGTGCATTCTGGGCCCTTCAGGAACCTGGTGCTGTCCTGGGCCAGTGTAGTGTGTGGACAGTTGGTCCAAACTACTGGCTAGGGAGAGACATGAGCTGGGTTGACCTGGAGGGGTTGGGTGGGAGCACTTTGATTAAGGAGATACTCTGTGATCTCGGCCTCCGTTAACCCAATCTCCTTAGGCCTGATGAGGCCAGAGGTGGCATTCATTTATCTCTGACATCTGTAAGTGAGGAAGGGGTCCTGGGTGATAGGGAGTAGGGGTGGGGTAAGGGATCAGAGGAGGCCGCTGCTATGGACTCCCACTCATTTCACATCTGAAAAGAAAGATCCTGGGCTGCTGTGTCTTTAGAATCACGAGAGAACCAAAGCTGTGCTGAAATCATTTGGTTTGACACCTGATGCCTCAGAATGACACCGGTGTCTGCCTCGGGGTGTCGGCTGCAGTGGGATGGAAGAGTCTTCTCAGGGTGATGAGCCCTTCTGCTGGGTTCAGGTTAGGTCTACACCGCGAGGACCACTGGCCTGCTCTGCAGGTAGGGAAGCTGAAGGGGTCCAGGAACTTACCTGAGTCATACAGTAACAGCTGAGCGGGGGGGGGGGGGGGGGGGGGGGGTGTCCTGAATGTCCCCTTGATGTTTTTAGCACCTTTATAACGTCTTGGGGCTCAGGAGATGGCTCAGTCAGTACAGTGCTTGCCACACAAGTGTAAGGACCTGAGTTCAATCCTAGCATCCATGTAAAAAGCCAGGTGTAGGTACATACCTGTAAAGGGCCAGGTGTAGGTACATGCCTGTAAAGGGCCAGGTGTAGGTACATGCCTGTAAAAAATTGCAGCACTCATGGGCTGGATCCCTGATGCTTCCCAGCCAGCCAGCTTACCTGAATTGGTGAGCTCCAGGTTTAGTGAGAGACCTTGTCTCAAGGATAAGGTGGAGCATCTGGAGAGATGCTCCGTGGTTAAGAGTGCGCACTGCTCTTCTAAAGGTCTCAAGTTCAGTTCCCATCACCCACCTTAGGTGGCTCACAACCTCCTCTAAGTCCAGTTCCAGGGGATCTGATGCCCTCTTCTGGCCTCTTCAGGCACTGCATGCGTGTGGTGTACAGATGTGCATGCAGGGAAACACACATAAAGTGAAATTAAAAGCTAGGTATTTTAGAACATTTTACTTAAAATTTCTTAATTAAAAATTTTAAGTCTTAACAAAGTGGAGAACAACAATCAAGGAAGATAGGCATCTTCAACTCACCTTTGCACAGATGTGCGCACCTGCACACATCCGTGAGTATGTATACACACACACACACACACACACACACACACACACACACACACACACACTCGCATTTTTACATTGTAATTTTAGCTACCGTTTCTCATTTGGAGAAAGAATTTGGCTGTGTTGCCAAATTGGTTGGCTCTGAATTTCTGGACTCAAGTCCTCCAAGGCACATACCATGGCACTATTCAGCATGCTCTTCAGAGGTGTTAAACATGCCACCACGTGATCACTATCTACTCTAGAACGTCTCCATCACCCCACATGGAAACGGAGGTCCCAGTGAGGGGCATTAGCCACGCACTCCTGTCCCAGCCCTGTGGGACCAGGAGGACTTGTCCTTGGGTGCCAGGCTGCCTTTACTTTTATGGTGCCAAGGTTGTGCCCTGGTATGGTGACATCAGTGCATCTAACTTTTCTTGGCTAATTTTCCATGCCATGGCTTTGCCACGAGGCTGACCATTATCGATAGATGATGTAGCAATACCCACAGCAGATGCGGGGTTGTTTTGGACTCCTGTGGACAGTGCAGTCAGTGTACAGGGGGCATGTTTCTTTGCTCCTGACTCTGCTGTGTGTTTGTGGTCTGCTAATTTTAATGTCCCTTCCCCATGCACCTGATGCTCTTCCAGGGTGTCCCCACTGAGTGGACTGACACCTCCAGTAGCAGCCGCAGGGACCTCACTCACCCTAAGGTGTACCCTTAGCCCGGCTGCCTTCAGCATTCTGCAGGCCATGCTTCCTCCCCTCCTTTACACCCCGCTGAAGGCTCCCCAGGGCCACTCTAGCCTCTGCCTCTCAGTATCATACTCCACCGCAGTCTCAGAATCCAGCCATGGGAAACAGGGCAGGAGTGCCTGTGAACATGACCATCAGTGAGGTCGATTTACAGCCTCGCTGTGGCCCCTCTGCCTGCCTCTGTCTGTGCCCAGGTAAACCCACCTGGGTTTCACTGTCATGAAGAGGTTCTGAGGGGCAGGTGGATGTGGATGTTCCACACACCTGTCGCCCACATCCTGCCCCAGGAGCTCACCCCTCTCTCCTTTGTCTCCCCAGGGACGTACCAGGGCCAGTGGGTTGGTGGCATGCGCCAGGGCTACGGTGTGCGGCAGAGCGTCCCCTATGGCATGGCCGCAGTCATCCGCTCACCCCTGAGGACGTCCATCAACTCCCTGCGCAGCGAGCACACCAACGGTGCAGCGCTGCACCCGGATGCCTCCCCGGCAGTGGCCGGCAGTCCAGCTGTGTCCCGCGGTGGCTTCGTGCTGGTGGCCCACAGTGACTCAGAGATCCTGAAGAGCAAGAAGAAGGGGCTGTTCCGGCGCTCACTGCTGAGCGGCCTGAAGCTGCGCAAGTCTGAATCCAAGAGCAGCCTGGCCAGCCAGCGAAGCAAGCAGAGCTCCTTCCGCAGCGAGGCGGGCATGAGCACTGTGAGCTCCACGGCCAGCGACATCCACTCCACCATCAGCCTGGGTGAGGCCGAGGCCGAGCTGGCTGTCATCGAGGACGACATCGACGCCACCACCACTGAGACCTATGTGGGTGAGTGGAAGAACGACAAACGCTCGGGCTTCGGTGTGAGCCAGCGCTCCGACGGGCTCAAGTACGAGGGAGAGTGGGTCAGCAACCGGCGGCATGGCTACGGGTGCATGACCTTCCCCGATGGCACCAAGGAGGAGGGGAAATACAAGCAGAATGTGCTCGTGAGTGGCAAGCGGAAGAACCTCATCCCACTGCGTGCCAGCAAGATCCGGGAGAAGGTGGACCGGGCCGTGGAGGCAGCCGAGCGGGCAGCCACCATTGCCAAGCAGAAGGCCGAGATCGCTGCGTCCAGGTAGGGTTGCGCAGAGTGTCCTGCAGGGACCTGTCTCGGGTCACCCAGCAGGTGTTCGTGACCTGCTCTGCCCATCTGTGCGGTGCCCAGTGTGAGGCCTGCACAGTGTCCCTCTGTCTGTCCCCCACAGAGTCATGGTGTTCCTTGGAGGTCTTCAGACGGTGATCGAGGACAGAGGTGGGGCGAGGGAATGATCCCAGGGCATAAGGGAGTCAGGAGGCTGCAGCGGGGAGGGAGATATCTCTTGTCGTTTGTATGTATCTAAGTGTGTGTTGTTCCTGTACACCACTGATGAGGCTGCTGTTCTGTTGGCGTGATGTGTAGGACACCTGCTGGCTGGTGCCCTCTGCTTCAGGGACACAGGAGGCTGGAAGCTACTTCAGTGGCCCAGATCTCTGGCTGAGGCCCCCAGATGGGCCCCAAGAGACACATCTCTTCCAGGGGAACAGAACAGCTGTGGGTGGCAGTGAGGGGCTCCCATAGACTTGGAATTTTGGGTCAAGAGCTGCCCCATTCAGGCTATGGGGCATCAAACTTGGGGTTCCGAGGGACCATCAGGCCCCAGGGAACAGTGACAGAGGTGGCTGTGGGGGAGCACCTTGTGGTTTTTTCCGTTTGGGTGTCAGTGCAGTGTGTAAGCCTCAGGGCTGGAGAAGGTGCCCCCCAGGTTAGCTCCCTGGAAACCACAGAGGCAAGTGTGGGAGGCTGGGCTGGTCTCAGCCAGTCTGTGAGAGTCGGGAGGCAGCGGACAGAGGAGCCACAGGAGCCACATTCTCAGGCTTGAGGATGCTGCCCTGTAGGAAGCCCAGAGCACGCCTGTGTGTGCGCCTCCGGGCTCTGCTGCGATGCACCTATTAGACAGCTTTGTGAAGCCGTTGTCCAGGATTATCCTCTGAGCCGATCTGCCACCATCTTCACCAGATCACCCGTGCCCGCTTGCAAAAGATCGTCATGGCTCGGCTTATTGGTTGTGGACTTTCCCTCAGAAGTGGGGTGGGTCATGGGGCCCTCACCCGAGTAGCCAATCGCCCCATTCCAAATAGCTGCATGCTCTTCCGCCCTAATGGCACGCGGTCTCTAGGTCTTGGGGGAGGGGCCAGAGTATATAGGTGGGGAAGGATTAGGGGCAGATGTTCCATCTATGTGGCTATGGGGAAGCCAGCACCCATTCTGGGTAAAGACTTTCCCAGAGGGGCCTTTTGGGGAGAGCACCCATATTCCTATCAGTAACGCCCGCCCAGGCTCTGTAAGGAAGCCCGATAAACTCGTTGGTTCCCCAAAGTGAACTTTGGTGGTATGTACCTTGGTTTGTTGTTGGGACCTTCGGGGGGGGGGGGGGGGAGGTGGTTGTTTGTCTCCCCGTCTCGGCTGCAGAAGGTGTTAGAAGCCGAAAAGTCTCTGTCATTCCTTCCAGAGAACCTGGGGCTGGGGAGGCTATGTGTCCATCTGGAAGATTCTCAGGCAGTGGTGGCTGGCCGAGCATCCAGCTCCCACTCAGCTTTTAGACTGTAATGACTGAACAATGGTTTGCTCCTGGTTGACCTTTGATCAGGATATAAAGCCCAGGTGTCAGCTGGTGGGACGCCTGTCCCCTGTGGTGCCTGTGGTCTAGAGGGGAACACCATAGCGCTAAGAGGCTGAAAGAAAGGCAGAATTTGGACCTCAGTACTGAGGTCTGACACTGCCCTGCCTTAGCCCCTCCCACTGCCCCCACCACCACCAGGAAGTGACTGTGAGTGACAAGTGTGGCTGCTCACCTGGGGTTTTAGGGACCTACTAAGCGCTAGGTGTTTTTACTGTGGTAAACATAAACAGAGCCCTTACCTCATACAGAAAGTTGGGAAATAACAGCCAGAAGACCACAGCGCTGGCTGAAAGCTGATGGTGTGCACCCCAGCACCCCTCAGCATCCACTGAACTAGCTTCCGATTGCTCTGTTTTACTGCCTCCCTTGTGTGTTGGGACCCTGGTGGATGAGAGGCAGTTTGGAGGCTGGATTTGCTTGCCACAGCCCTGTCAGGCCCCAGATGAATTCTTTTTTGTTATTTTTGTTTTGTTGTTTTGTTTTTGAGACAAGATCTCTCTATGTAGCCCTGGCTGTCCTATGAAAACCAGGCTAGCCCTAAACTCAAAGAGATCTGCCTCCCTGTGCCTTCTGAGTGCTGGGATTAAAGGGGTGTGCTGCCATGCTTGGCTTCAGGAGAGTTCTTGAATGAGGAGGGTTTGAGAAGCAGAAGCAAGTATCATGGGAGACCTCCCACAGACCTGATGTCCCGTACACCCACCACCAGATCCCCTATGTTAGGAATGAGAACATGGGACCCAAGGTAGTTTCTATATAGATGCCATGGGATACTGGGAGAAGCTGGCCTCCCTGGAGCAGGGAGGTGGAGTTGGACCCAAGCTCATGCGGGGTGACCCCCTGTAGTCGATGTTTCTCTCTGAGCCTCGGTTTCCCCATCTGTGGCAGAGGAGCCATGCAGTTCCCAGCCCCTGCCCCTGGCCTGCCTTCCCCAAAGCATGAGAGTGCGGAGCTAGACAGGGTTGGCACACGGTGGCCTCTGTGCCTCAGGAAAGCCGAGAGACAGGGCTAGGAGGGCAAGAAGGACTCAAAGAAGTTGGGATCGACCTGGGAGTGAGTGAGTGCTGAGTGACTCACCAGCGCCTGGCGTCCTGGCCAGCTGGCGTTTCTGTCTCCTATGGTGCCTCTGTTGTGTTTTCCCTGGTGGGCACAGGGACAAGTGGAGAGCGGGGCAGGGAAAAGACGTGTGTATCTTTGTGCACCTGGGCACCAACAGACCCACGCACACACCCATGGGCTCCAACCTAGTCTTTTGAAACCCTGAAGCACACCCCTGTGCCTCACCCCCATTGGCTGCTTGACCCCAGGCTAGTTTTCTGCATAGCTAAAGTCCCAGAGGGGACCCAGTCCTGTTACCTTATCAGTGGCATGGCCATGAGATGAAATGGGCCCTGATTCTGCATTTACACAGCTGGGATCTCAGAGTCTTCTAAGAAAGAGGCCAGTTGAGGGAAGTGTCCCCCAGGCTACCTCCACATAGTATGGGACCCATAATGTGTAGCATGTACAGGTATGCCAATTCCCTTGGTGCCCTCCAGGGCAGTGTTAGGTTACTGGCATGTGCCAAAGTTGTGGGGTCTGGCTGTGGCTGGCAGGAAAGACAGGTGGCATCAGACCCTCACCAGCCATCAGGAAGCAGCTTCTTACACTGTGGCCTTGAAAACAGCAGGGATCTGTGCTCAACTCTGCTGTCACTGCCAAATGGCCAGGGAGGCCGCTCTATAAGCAAGGGTTCCCACTAGAGCAGTGATTCTCAACCTGTGGGTCATAACCCCCTTTTTTGGGGGGAGTCACATATCAGTTATCTAGCCTATCAGATATTTACAATTCACAACAGTAGCAAAATTACAGTTGTGAGTAGCAACAAAATAATTGTATAGTTGGGGGTCACCACAACATGAGGAACTATGTTAAGGGGTCGCAGCCTTAGGAAGGTTGAGAACCACTGCACCAGAGGATGGTGGAGCCCAGGATGTGGGGCCCGGTTTATGGTTGGCCCCACCATCATTGCTGGTGTCACCCCAGCGCGGCTCTGAATGCTGACTCCTGGTACCCAGAGTCTCTTATTGGAGGTGAAGAAGCAGTGCAGCATCATGTAGAAGGCAAGCCACCACCCCAGGCTGTAAGCCTGAATCTGTGTCTCCTGCATCTTCCCAGTGGGCTCAGAATATGGTAGGTAACCAGAGGCCAATGTTCAAAGGGTAGAGATGGCAAGTGACCGGCAGAGCCTTGGATCCAGCAAGAGCCACAGGCACTAGGCTGCCGCTATAGAGCCCTCATTCCTGGGGGTCATCACTGTTACCATCAAGATGACAGAGTCATAGGGCCATGTTGCGTCATTCTCAGCCTGCATGTCAGGGCTCATCCAGTAGTGAGAAACCGCCCGTGGCATCCTTATCAGACATTCCAGGCCATCTTGGTGATGGCTCCAGCAAGGCTTGGGACAGGCACAAGAAGAGTAACTCTGAGGGGTGCCATAACTCTTGGCACCCTTCTGAGGCCCCTCTTGGTGGAGGCAAGGAAGTGCCCTTTAAATACAGGAGAGATGCTCAGTGGTTAAGGGCACTTGAGTTCAGTTCCCAGTACTCACATCAGGCAGCTCACAACCATACTAGCTCCAGAGGATCAGACACCCTCCACTGGTCTCCATGAGCACTGCACACACACATGCACATTGACACACGGACACAAACACATACCTGAGAACTGAAATGTGAGTCTTTAAATGCGGCACCACGGGACTGGAGAGATGGCTCAGAGGTTAAGAGCACTGACTGCTCTTCTAGAGGTCCTGAGTTCAATTCCCAGCAACCACATGGTGGCTCACAACCATCTGTAATGAGATCTGGTGCCCTCTTCTGGCCTGCAGGGATACATGCAGGCAGAACATTGTATACACAATAAATAAATCTTAAAAAAAAAATAAATAAATGCGGCACCACTTCTGAGATGGGAAGGTGGGTGTGTGTGCACCTGGGAGGAGGCCCGCTCAGGAGAGGGTCCAACCCCGGGCCGCTCCCTATTAAGGTGGTCAAATAGATTGCCCTTGTTAAGGGATAAGTCACTGTGCCACATCTTGAGCTAAGCCTGTCCCCTCAGCACTGCATGCACATACCATGGTCCTTCTCATCCATGCATTTTCTGTGGTCAACTGTGGTCTGTCTGAAAGCATCCTAAGGAAAATTCCATAAGTAAATAATTCATGAGTTTTTCCCCGCCTTGGGACCGGCTCTCCCTATGTACTCATAGGTCTTTCATTGTGCACCATTCTGAGGTGTGCAGTGGTGTCTGGCACCATCCCACTCCATCCTTCCCAGACCATGACTCATTCTATGACTTGTCCTTGTCCAGCATATCCACACCATGTATGATACTCACCCGTGAGCACCGAGTTGCTGCCTTCAAGTGACCCCGTTTG